CCCAAAGAAGACCGACGACCATGGGTTGTATTTTGGGGCGACTGGCTCCGTTGCGTCGTCATCCCTAAGTGTGCGCCTCTGCTCCCTGTTGGGAATATGGGTGGCGTTTATCATATTCACTATTTTAATTTGCGGAGGAAACGTCTTCTGCCCTCCAGTGTTCGGTGACTTGGGCTCCTCCTCGTCGTCCTCGCTTTGCGACCCCTTCTACTTATTTTCGGCACCTGACATGCCGGCCTGTTTGAAGACCCATCATTCTCTGTTGGTATGATTGGTTGGTGTTCCTGGGGTGCCGTGAATTTGGCATGGACGGTCGAGTATACGGTCCAGACTGGACATGCCCGTACTGTTTCTTTTAAATGGCCTCTTCCGTTGACCGGACTTGGAGCCACTGAATCCGGCATTGACGGTCATGTCTTCGGCGTTGTCGCCATTATTCCGCCGCTTGTGTTTGCTGCGTTGGGGCTTGCTGTTGTTTCTTGGTTCAGAAGTCCCAGGTTTGCTTGAGGTGCTGTTGTTACGAGCCAATCAGCTGTCCTCGCCCGCACAAAAGCGGGTCATGAGTGTCGTGAGGGCTGCCATGCATTTAGGCTTCTCTTGGCCAAGGTGTCGGGCAAGCCACTGATCACAGATGTTATGCTTAAAGGTCGCTAGGGCTTCGGTATCCGGACAGTCGATAATTTGGTTCTTTTTAGTTAAGAATCGGGCACAGAATTTCCTGGCTGACTCTCCGGGTTATTGGGTTATGTGACTTAAGTCATCAGCGTCCGGTGGTCGCACATAAGTGCCCTGGAAGTTGTCAAGGAATGTGTCTTCCATGTTCTCCCAACTACCAATGGAGTTTGCCGGCAGACTATTAAGCCAATGCCGAACGTATTATTCAATTACAATATGTGGCTTTATATGACGCTTACTTCCTGCTCTTTCTTATTGATATTCTTTGTCAAATGGCATCTATACACTATGATATGCGTCAATATGGCAGGGGCTTGGTTACCCATAATACGGCAATAAAGTCCGAATACCTTCACGGTCATTCGGCATCCCGAACTTATTGCATTATATGCATCGGCTCTGAATCATGTCTTGGGTTAATAGTTGGGTTGCCCGGCTCCTGTGCTTGCTACCCTACGTTCCGCTATATCGGCTAGGGTAGTAAAGGGAGAACTACTGCTATTGCACCCCGGTTCTTCCGGACGAGCGCCTCAGTAGAGAAAGCCGAAAACTGACTGTCATGATATGGCTAGAGCTGGTCAGCTGTTCGAGAGGTTACAAAATATTTAAGGATTTCTTCCGCATTATGCGATAACTGATGCAGCGTGCGATGGATCGGCTTTTTCTTCCGATCAGGTGCTTATAAAGCCCCTAGTGCAGCCTTCCGAACACCAGGGGCTGCGCCTACCTTTCTTTTGTTAAACTCCTATGGCTAAGTGAGAGTGATAAAGCCTTATAGTCCGATTGCCTGGTTCATTGCGCTGAACACCTCCTTTAAGGACCAAAAACTGGGGTAAAGAGTGCTCGGGTTTATTCCGAACACACCCGTGCTACCTACGT